GCTCCTTTACATGGTGGGTGTGGCCACGGAAACAAAATGGTGGCTTACACATGGGACAAAGTTAAGAGCTTTCTAACAGCAATAGAGCATAGAGATACTGTCTAAAGACTTCTCTAGAAGCATTATAAGGTAGTGAGAACCTTTATAAGTCTTAATAATGACCAAGTTGTACTTGCAATGTGGTGAAATCAATTGTAGGAATATTTTTTACCCTGTTATGCTTGTTTATTAGTACTATACATGTACATTACTATTATTACTGTCATTATTTTAAACCATAATTTTTAAGACATAATTATTTTAGGCCATATTTTTAGTTCTCTGCTATAGTATAATTACGTTTAATGACATTATTTATTATTATTTATTAAACAAAAGAGAACTAGTTTAACAGTATAACTGGAAAATTTGGAATCAAATTTTGGTGAATTCGGTAGAATACATTGTCCCAACAAAGCTATGGGCAATATGCTTACTTCACAAAGGCATGTCAAATTGAGATCCATTGCCAAAAATTTAGCAGCAGCAGCATGCATAATTGTTAAAGCCTTCAACACTTCAAATTGTAACAACTGAAAACAACAAAGTAAATAAAGGAACTATTATTATGCCATAGGATATTCGGACTGTATAAGTGATAATGGTGAAGATGAATGTGATGGGCTCTAGTTAACAACTGCAGAGCAGCTGCACTTCACATCACAGCAGAAGCTTTCACTGCACCTGGAGCAGCAGGAAGAGGAGTATGATGATTAAGAACCACTCATCACTCTTGCAACTAGCAACACCATAGTTATGGATCCAAAGGAGTTATGGACCCAAAGGATCTATAGCTGGATGAGAGAGCTGTGTATTTGAGAGAGAGAGAGGAAATTCAGGCATTATACTCTAGTGGGTGTTGTTCAAAAAAGTGCCTCACACAGTTTGAGAAGAATGATCTGATGAGAGTGCGCTGGGATTTGCAAGAACTGACGAAGGACCAGCTGGAGATGACTATTCTTCGACACCTGATGTCTTCAACATCTTGTGAAACAGTTGAGAGGAATAGGACTGATTATGAATACAGGGGAAAGAAAGTATTGGACACAAAATATCTATAACAATTAATGATTTCGTATCTTTTCCAAACAGATATGTTAGGAGCTCTTCTTGTTCATCTGCAGTATCAGAATTAGTACTTACAAGAACTTGTGGAGGCATTTCCTTCAAAATGGAATGAAACCTAGTTAAAAGTAATAAAATAATCCTAAGTAGAGGAATTAAAATTTTTAATGTAGGGTTCATTGCAATACTGGTTGCATTCCATGTTATGCTCTCTCTGTGGAAGGCATTTAAGATGTGGTAGCATTTTTGCAGAACTATGCTGGAGATTATGCCATATTACTACCTAGGAGGATACCTGGAGTGAGGAATTACGAAAAGGCCAAGCTTTTGCCGTCCAGTGTGTCCCTACACATGGTTTACAGGCTGTATGCTGATGCTGGTAGGGAACATGCTCTCAGTGAAAGTTCCTTTAAAAGAATATGGAGAATGTATGTTCCCCACATTTACAACATCAAGCCAATGACGGACATATGCTCGACGTGCAAGAAGAACAGCACTGCAATTTTACGGAATGCTGGGTGTGAGATTGAGCGTCAGTCCGAGGTACATTTATCATTATAAACAATATAAATATTCTTGCCTGTAAAATATTGTCACTTAGTCAGTAACTTTGCCTTTAGATAACTTATTATTTTCTATTACATTTAAGATGAAGATTAATGATAAAACAAGAATGTACAGTTATTTTTCATGTGTTTGGAGTATCTAATTGTATACAAAAGAGTATAATGTGTATTGTGTACTTATTATCAGTATAATTCACCATAGTAGTGTAGAATAGTGTCCTTTACTGTTATACAGTTGTATTGCTTGTTGTGTTGGAAGTATCTAATTGTATATAAAAGATGGTAATGTCTATTGTGTACTTATTACTATAATTCACCTTAGTAGTCCAGCATAGTGCACTTTACAGTTATACAGTTGAATTGCTTGATATGTTAGGAGCATCTAATTCACAGTAATGTGTATTATGTCCTTATTACTAGTATAACTTACCTTGATAGTGTAGCGTAGTGTCCTTTACTGTTATACAGTTGTATTGTTTGTTGTGTCAGTAATATCTAATTGTATATAAACATTGTAATGTGTATTGTGTACATTATTATTAGCATAATTCACCTTTGTAGTGTAGCATAGTGTCCTTTACTGTTATACAGATGTATTACTTAATGTATTAGGAGTATCTAATTGTATGTAAAAGATAGTTCTGTGTATTGTGTACTTATTAGTAGTAAAACTTACCTTAGTAGTGTAGCATAGAGCCGTTTACTGTTATGCAGATGTATTGCTTGATGTGTTAGGAGTATCTAATTGTATGTAAAACATAGTAATGTGTATTGTGTACTTATTATTAGTATCATTTACTTTAGTAGTGTAGCATAGTGTCCTTTACTGTTATAGACATGCATTACTTGATGTGTCAGGAGTACCTATTATAATTATACATAAAACATGGTAATGTGTATTGTGTAGTTATTATTAGTATAAATTACATTAGTAGTGTCCTTGTACAATTGTATTGCTTGATGTGTTAGGAGTGTCTAACTGTCTACCAAAAATTGTAATGTGTATTCTGTATTTATCATTAGTATAACTTACCTTGATAGCGTAGCATAGTGTCTTTCCCAGTTTTACAGTTGCATTACTTGATGAGTTAGGAGCATCAAATTGTACATAAAACATGATAATGTGTATTGTGTACTTATTATTAGTATAAATTACCTTAGCATAGTGTCCTTTACAGTTATACAGTTGTATTGCTTGTTGTGTTAGAAGTATCTATTTGTATATGTGACCTTAATTGACAAAAGATACCTTATGGTGGATAAGAAAATTGGTCTTTATAGCCTAAAAATTCTACGTTACTGTGCTGCATTTATTATAAAATTACTCCAGAGGATGCAAAAAGTTACCATGTAACTTTTAAAAACAATTGTTGACTAACAGAGCACTCACAGGATAATATTTTTCTTTATAATGAATTTAAAAATCCAACACAAGGTACCTTTTGTCATTTATGGTCACATATAAAATATGGTAATGTGTATTGTGTACTTATTATTAGTATAATTCACCTTAGTAGTGTAGCATAGTGTCCTTTATTGTTATACAGTTGTATTGCTTGATGTGTTAGGTGTATCTACTTGTAATTATACATAAAACATGGTAATGTGTATTGTGTACTTATTATTAGTATAAATAACCTTAGTAGCATAGCATCGTCTCCTTTACTGTTATACAGTTGTATTGTTTGTTGTGTCAGTTATATCTAAAATGTTTGATCTTTTTATAGGTAAAGGTAGCTGCAAAGGAGTATATTGATCCTGTAAGGCAGGAGTATTGTGTGCTGTTTGTAAGAAAATTATGGATGCTTATTATATCACATTGCATCTTACAATGTCACATCCTAGCGTACAATGTCACATCTGGAACTAATGGTCACAACATTGTCATGTGATTTAACACATGATAAATACAATGTCACATCTTAAGTGATTTTGACATCACGCGAGTGTCACGTGATTGTTAGCATCACTTGAGTGAATAATGGAGGTTTTGTTAGAGTATGGATCTTCAAAGAGGGAGTTGAAGCTGTCAAAGGATGAAGATGTTTTTCAAGCATTAGAAGAGGCCTTTCAACAATTTGAGCCTGGTTTATCTATTGGTTTTTCACAACAGCGAGATGTAAAACCAAGTCACTTTTTGCAGCGGTATTCGGAAAAGTGGCGTGACTATACTGACGTGTCTAATAAGAGGGAAATAAGTAATGGGGACAAGATTCGAGCTGTTGTAAGGACTGAAAAAGATGACAGAAATGTAAAGGTTTGTGGTGCTGTCTTTTTTGTGATCATGTTTGTGTATATAGTGTTATTATGAAGGTGTGATCCCTTGCCTGTTATTCTTTAAATCCATATTATATTTTTCATTGTGTTAGAATGTTTCACAAGTTCTTAAAAGAGGATCAGGTGTTTGTGTAGGGATTATAAAACCATCAGTGTCTAATTCAAAAGTACTTCGTTCACTCTTTCCTGTTTTGTCACCTTCGCACTCTTTTCAGATGAAAAGGAACTTCAATCCCCTTGATAATTATTTTTTCTCCAAACAAAAACAGAAGAAAAAAGCCACACAAATTAAACCTTGCAATGTGATGGTTGTTTTGATGACTGAGGCGACACTTCTGTTCCACGAGGTAATAAACAGAAATCTATGGGACAGAACGGATTCATTAAGCAGTGTGAGCTTTTACTTGATATGTCAGGTGTTGAAGTTGAAAATAAGCTCATTAAATTGTTCTCAGAAAAAATGTCGACGAAGAATGCTAGTGTTAAATTTTTGATACCAGATCCGAAGCTTCACATTGTAAGGGAGACCGGAGATAAGGAATTAGATGGAAATGATACAATTGAGCTCACAGGGCAGCGTAGTTTGTATATTAGGATAATGTTAAGTATAATATAAATTACAGTTTGATGAAGTAGATTAATTGACTAGAATCATTCAAAAGATGAGAACAGGGAAGTAATGAAGCCTGATGATGTCGATGATGATGACAGTGATCTATCAAAGTGAAGTGGAAGAAGATAGAAAATGAGGTAAGTAGATACAATAGTATTTGATTGGTGATCTCTTGTTATGTTGTAGCAGGAAGATGAGACTGTTAAAGTTTTGGACCTAACTTCTGAGGATGACACAGAATTGACACAAGAGGTTACTTAGTTAAATATTGATTAATTTAGAATGTTTTTTTACTGTAGGGTCTTGAAGATTGGCAGAAGTTTTGAAGAAAGTAATAACTACAATATGAAGAATCCCTTCAATTTGTTCAGCAGAAAGTAAGTTATCTTACTTACACCTATGGTATTACAGAGAAAATATCTATAATAATTTGGCACAACAAGCTAATGACAGTGATAAAGTAAAGGTCAGTAACTGGGAGTATAGTGGCTACATGCATAACAGTAGTATCAGGTGCTTATTCCATTAATGAATTTGTATAACTGTTTAGAGAAGAGGAGAGGAAAAGACCAAGCTTCAGTTGTATTTATCAGAGTGAACGCTTCCTCATGTAGCTATCAAGTTAGCAGTGAAGTTGGAGGACGGCACCAAAATTTATGGATCCTGTTCTGCTGATCATTCGATAAAGGCTTGTGATGCATACAACATTATTGCAGTAACAATTGCACATATACCCTATTTTACAAATATTACTTAAATGTACCACTTTTTTTGTTGCAATTTGTTTACCAGTATGTTTTGCTCACACAGAAGTCAAAACTTTCTTTAAATTATGCACTGGAGCAGTTCCAATGGAGGTAATGCAGCCTGATGAGAAGTCTTTAACTCAGTACGATTTGAGAGTATCATCACTGCTACTATTAGAAGAAACTCCCTCTCATGATGAAGACAAATGAATTGATGAATTAGTAAGGACATTCATATATTTTTTACTGTTGATTTACTTCCTTTTCCCATTAGACTCTTTGTAAAGAAGCTGAAATTATTTAGGAAGTCAAGGGCAACATTTCATCTACTGACATACTAATGAAAGGTACTCTATTACCATATTTAAGAACTATATACAGCTTGTCACCTCCCACAATCCAGATTGTTCTCCCCTATTTTATAGCCATTCTTGCATTATTACATGTATGCCATAATGGTTATACATTACTTAGTGTACTTGTTACATTTAAAGGAAACTAATAAAAACATTTATATTAAGTTTTGTTTCTTTCATGATTTACACATATATAAAGGAGAACACCTGGAAAGAATTTGTGAAGACATTTCATACTCTTGAAGGAACTTTACACTGTTGCGCGGTCTTCACTGTTTGATGATGTAATCTCTCTATACAAAGAGCATCCTGGTATAACGAATGAATGTCCTTAGAAATGAAATTAAAAGAAGAATTAGCTGTTGATTTAGGTGGCGTGTCTAAAGACATTGTTTCAGGATTTTGGCAAGAGGCGTATGAACGATTATTTGATGGTAGTATCTCATTTGTTTCTGCTGTTCATCCACACATTGAGTTTTCATTATTTGAAGTTCTCGGTGAAATTTTATCTCATGGATACTTCTGTACTGGGTTTCTGCCAACACAAATATCTTTTCCTACTTTGGCTACTATGATTTTGGGTTGTCAAGTACAAATAAGCCCATATATTTTACTTGAACCTCTTTTTGATTATTTTAGTGATGAGGATCGTTCTGTGTTGTCAACAGCTCTTCAATTTTCAAAAGATAATCCAAATATGAAGTTTCCATCTCAAATTTTAGACTCATTGTTGAATGTATTTTGTCATTTTCAGTGCCTAAGAGTACCTGATCCATTATCACTTGGTCTCACTTTAGTTGACATAGATTGTTTTGTTTTTCTTACTAACCCAATGTCTGCTATTAATGCCGTCAATTTAGCTATTCCTCAATCACATGTTCCTTTTTGGAAATCTATGTCATCTGATTTGTACAAGCTTTACCTGGCACTTACTGCTACACCTTTCAAAGTTCTGAGCTTACTAGCAGAGCGTACGTTCTTTAATGCCTCTCAAGAGACTGTTTTTGGCTACTTACAGCAATTCATTGAGAACATCACAAAGGACCAAGTTAAGATGTTCTTACAGTTCTGTATGCAGTACTAAAGAAATTGAAGTTCAGTTCAACTTATTATCTGGTGTTGCTTGCAGATCCATTACTCATACTTGCAGTAATATATTAGAGCTGCCTACAATTTATCATTCTTATTCTGAAATCGCCAAAGAATTTTGATTGGTGATGTGTGATGAAACTTACTCTTGGATCATGGATGGATTGTAATTATGCAGTTAGGCTCATAATATAAAACTAATCCTGTATATAATCACTGTATATAATCACTTAATTTCTCTTGATTACAATAAAAATTACTTCAAATCAATGACTTGTCAAAAAATATGAACAACTGCCATCAGCTATCATATCAATATTTCAACAAAGTTCCTGGTATACTTCTGATAGATTTAGCCTTGTTTCAGGAATTTCATTTTCAACATGACTGTCCTACAGTGCATACAAGACAAGACCAATTGAATATTTATAATATATGCATGCAAGCCTGCTGAAGCAAAAATTAACTAGAAGCTATAAAATATGCTTATTATTACAAGAGCTATAGTTACTATACTAGTACTTAAAAGTATAACTCTAGTAAACCAATATTTAATACAAAATTATTCATACTACACAAATTAAACAAATAATATTGTGTAATACCTCTGATGCATCATCTTGTGGTATTAGTAACGCGGTAGCGTTACTAAGTAGGATGCACCCCCAAACAAAATGGCTCCCAAGACTTTTGCAGCCTTGCTTTACCGGAAAAACGAGCTCCTATGCTTACCAGACTTCTTAGAGGACCTTATCTTGACCAGAGGACTCCATTGGTACCCATAGCGTGGCTCTAGGCTCTGTCTAAGAGAAAAGCCAAAAATCGGCGAACCGGCCGTTTTGTTCAGCCACCTTTTTTCATCTTCATCATCATCATCATCATCATCAAGAAGTCCTGTCAATCCAGTTGTCGGTGTGTATCTCAGTATCAGTTGGTGCTACAAGGATAATTCTTACACCAATCTACTCCAACAGTTTATGCGCAGGTCCATGTCCCATCAGATCATTCTTCAAGTAAGGAAAAAGTGGTACTGTGGCTGCTGGATCGAGCCATCTTAGCTGCATGCAGCCATTTTGCTAATTAAAAAAACATGCCATGTGCTCCAAAATTTGGGTGTGGTCACGCATGCTCAGATTTATTTTTTACCAAGCTATACTTGGAATCAACTACTGCAATACTTTAGTGGAGGTTTCCAGCTAAAAGAAGGTATTAATCTTGCATGTTACTGTTTTATCAAGTGTGTGATTTTATTTTATTAAAAAAAAACAAACAATTAATTAATGTATAATGTGCAATGATAATATGAATGACAACAGCCTGGAAGAACAGGAATAGCTGCATTCTGCTGCAACATTGCAGGGAAGATGGACACTCAGCTCACAGCTTCTTGAACAAGGACTTGTATCAAGACTAGTATTAATTTCACTTGTCATCAGGATAATTGATATTCCTTCAGCATGTCTATTCAATGCTGTCTCTCATAAATGATGTAAAGTCATCAAGACTAGTATTAATTTCACTTGTCATCAGGATAATTGATATTCCTTCAGCATGTCTATTCAATGCTGTCTCTCATAAATGATGTAAAGTCATAACAATGATAATAATAATAAAGAAAATCATTGTTTGTGTAAAATCAACAAGCATCACAACAGCAACTAAAGAAATATTATAAATATTATTAAAAAATTAACACAAACAAGAACATAAAAAATTTTAAAAAAACAAGATTAAGTAGGATTCCGAACGACCAACGAAAATACGAAATGAAAATCCTACTCGTGACGCAAATTCTACTCTACATTGCAAGGTGATCCGTAATTTTTACATAATAACATTGAAAGTACAATGTAGAGTAGAATTTGCGTCACGAGTAGGATTTTCATTTCGTATTTTCGTTGGTCGTTTGGAATCCTACTTAATCTTGTTTTTTTTAAATTTTTTATGTTCTTGTTAAATTTGGATGAACACCATATTCCTCACCAACTGTCTGAAATTAATCCATTGCTTCAAAACCAGAATACTGCAACTGTAATGCTCCAGCATGAAAAAGCTGCAAAGGAGATTTATTATTCTCAGTTTGAATACCATGCATATTCCATCCATCCCTAAAAGCTTCAAGTGATTTGTTAACTCTTGGAAGATACACAAAATGCAAAGTGAAAAGATGAACTTCATTGGCAGAATCCAGTAATCTCCTTTGCTCCAAATAGTAAAATAATCGATAATATAGCTGCATGACACAACAATGTAAATCTTGCCAAAAACGTTCTACATGCTGGTTATGTACAGAACTTCCAGTGATTATACTTCCTTTTCCATGACCTATTTCAGAGCATTGACTGAGCTAAAAGCATGTTTTCTCGACCTTCGTCTGTTCTGACACACAATGGTACACCAAACCTGCTAACAGCATCAAGGAAGCTGTGTAAAACAGTAGAAGCACGATTGTTTGTAGAACAGTTTTACTTAACTTAGTAGGACCATCATGTGGTAATTAAATTTTCAGTCATCATGTTTTTAAAATTTTCATTAATGAAACAGGGCTTACCAATATGCCATAATGAATTTGGTCCTGGTACAGAATATGGATGACATGCAGTGATACTGAATCCCCAGCGTCGAGTTAGATTTGTTCTTATTAAAATTGAACGAACTCTTTCTTTTGATACATAAATACCTACAGCTCTAAGATCACCCATTATCAATGTTTCACCAGAATATGGATTATCATGACGTAACTGCTGCAAAACTTTATTTAATTCCTGATCACTTATCTGATGCACATCAAAACAATCATCGTCTAACATTCCAAACTCACTTCTATGCCTGTATATAGTCATATGTGAAACACCAAGTAAGTCTGCAATCTCTGTCCATGAAAAATTTATTTGCTTAAGATACTCCAGTTGACTCCTGTAAATCTTAAACAATGGTTGACCTTGTAAACCACTGTACAAGGGCCCTGCTTGCTATTGTGTGCATATGTTCCTCTTCTCTAAATATTTATCCCAATATAACAGTAGCCATAAAATGCAGTATTGCGGAGTATTTATTAGCTCTAAATATCTCCTTCTTCTACCTTAAGTTCTGTTTCTGGTTCAATTGCTATGTCGAGGACTTCTTGAGTATTGGAGACCAAGTTCAAGTTTCTGTGTTACATAATCTACAAACCGTTCATTGGCCATTCCAATTTGAGACTGACATGAATTAAAGACATTTTCCAGTTCTTGAAGAAAAGCTGTCCATCCAAAACTCGCCATTGCTAATTCTGGTACACACATACATCCCTGCTAGATCACAAGATCATAACCATGTGACATTGTAACAGCAATAATTATCACGTCATAAATCAAATTACAAGGTCTTGAACATTAGTTCCTGATGTGACATTGTACGCTAGGATGTGACATTGCAAAATGCAGTTTGACATAGTAAGCTTAGAATGTGACATAACAAGCATATATAATTTTACTTTAGGAAAGTGTTGAAGAAGACTAAAGATGCCATAAAGAAGCTGGACCTAACCATCGAAAGGCCAGTGAACCAAGTGAAGGTGGATGGTCACTATAGCTTTGACTATGCACAGCAAGTAAGGCAGTTAGTATACTTACGCATCTTCATCGTAAAATTTATAATTGCAGGTGCATTACCCAAGTGATCCATTGCAGCCTGGTTGCATCTACTTCTTAACACCAATGAAATGTGGCTTGTTTGGGGTTTGTTGTGAAGCATTCCGTAGGCACGTTACATACCTAGTGGATGATGTAATGGACACAGGGAAGGGGGCAAATACTGCTGTCAGATATATCCATCACTACATTGAAAACCAAGGCATCAATGCTAGTATTATCCATCTCAATGCTGACAACTGTATAGGTCAAAATATAAATAATACTGTTATTCAATATTTGGCCTGGAGAGTACAGGCACACAGGAATAAATGGATTAAGATCTCCTTTCATTCAGTTGGGCATACTATAAGTTCTCACCAGACTTGTGCTTTGGGCTCATCAAAGAGCTATTTATAAAGACTGCAGTACGTTGCTTGAAGGATATTGCTAATGTTGTTGATGATTCTGCAGTAGTGAATGTTGGTTGGATCTAGTACAGGATAGGTTTTGGTGCCATGCTTTGATTCGACGGGCTTTTTGCATTGTTGTTTTAAGTGCATAAACGGGAAACAAAAGATCCACCATATCACGCTTGAGAAGGATTCACTACTGCAGGAAGACTTCATAGCTCAAGAATCGATAGATAGTAGCATTAGAAAAGTAAGTTATTTGAGGGATGATGTTACCCTGCCTCCTTGAGATACACTGCCAGAAGTAGTACTACCAAATGGCTTATCAGCAGAAAGGCAGTGGTACTTATATGAAAAGATTAGGAATTTTTGTCTGGAGAACAACAAGGACAAGACATTTCCCATGCCTTCTGTTGCAAAGCCTGTATCATCAGCCCACCATACACCTGAAGCATCAATTTGTGATTTAATCTTGAGGGCTAAATGATTAGGATGATTGTGAAGATTCATGTTTGTGTCATTTAATGATTCTCTTTTAATTCCAGTGATTCACCTTCTTTTATCTTCTTTCTTTGGCCATATGTAAATAAATTCAACTAGACAATCCCCTAATTTCTCATTAGAACGAATTAGTTTCTCTTTAGGATGTTGTGTACAAGTTTCTCATGTTGACACAATGTAGGTATAGTTAGCAGTAGGACAGCTTTACACCTCCACAAGGAACATCTCTATAACACAATGTCTCACTTGCACCATTTAACTCCATTGTCACCTTCTAAACATTATGAGCCTTTCCTTTACCAAGTTTTATATCCGTGAAGAGATAATGAGGATTATGTGCATCACATTGTGGAAGAAGAGAAAAATCTTCACAATACCCAATTTTTTCAGGGTGTGGTGTTTTAAAAACTCCTGGGAAATAATAATCATCCTCATTCTTTACCTTAAACAAAAATCAGAGCAGCTCAATAGGTTTCGTATGTTGGTTACTATTTTACATCCTTTTCCCTTTCGTTTAATATTATCTGTAATGGTAATACAAAAAGCATGATTGCCTGCAAATATTACTATAGATACACTTACCTGACTTTGAGGTATGATTGACAGGCTGAAAACTAGCAACTGCTGAGGAGATTTATCTCAAAGGATGTTTTAAGATATTCTTTTCCTTGTTTTGTTATAGAAAAACTATTGTATATCATCTGTCCAATCTTGTTGTGTCCTTTTCCTAATCTCATGTCATTCTGAATCAGTCCCAACTATCCATGCCTGACGAATTCTTATCCTCCATCCTAACAATGAATAGCCAATTTGGAATCCTGAACCCAATGTAGACGTTTCACATTGCAAAGAAACTTTTGCTGATGCTCTTATGTGTTGAGCTAACTGAAATTGGGAAATCAAGCAATGCACAATGTGCTAATCAATATTGTTAAATTACTTTAACTTCTCCAAATCCATCTAGGTTTTGAACTGTCTCTGTAACTATTTTCATTTCATTCTCAGCATTTATAGCTGTTGTTTCTAACTCAGATATGCAAACATCACAGCATGGTCCATCACACTGTAGGTTTGAAGTAATATCTTCGAAATAGGAAACCATCTCTCGTCTACATCGTCCAGCTATTTCACAAGTAATAAATCTATTTGAATTTAAAAATAAGTTTTAAAACTATAGCCAAATCATAACATACTTCCATGATACCTGAAAATTAGATAAAATCTGTTTTTGCCTCCTACAGTGTTCTACTTTGCACCAAAATGAGGCATGTTGCAAATCATTGTCAACATAAAACACAATTCTCTGACATTTCTTGCCATGTCTACAACCTCTACCAAGTTCCTGTACTAATTGCTCTATACTAGGTGGAACACCCACTCTGATAGTTTTATCTACGTCTGGTTGGTCTATCCCCATTCCAAAAGCACTTGTGCAGACCATTACTTGAATTTCTCCACTTTTCCAGCTAGATAGAGCCATAACTTTGTCATGCATAGTCATCTCGTCTCCATGATAAGAACAGCTTAGAAGGCCATTATGCCCTAAGCTAATAGCAAGTGGGGCAACATCTCTAATTAAATCCAGATTAATTATTGCCTTTCCTTCTAAATGTGGAATTAATTGTGATGCCCATTTGCTGTACTTGTCTATTCCAACTAAGCAGTAAAATATAAATAAAAATACATTAAATATTATCATACTTTTGGCCCCTAACTTATATACATAGAAAGTCAAATTGCTCTTTTTCATACTTGCAATCTCACAAATTGGATTACGAAGTATTTCCTTCAGCATGGTAATGATTGCTGGTGTTGCAGTGGCTGTCAGTGCCATGAATGGTATTCCTTCAAATTGCTCAGGCAGCTTCATGAAATGTTCATATGCTGGTCTATTTACAGTAATGATTATTTAAAAAAAGCTTTTTGTCACTAACGAAAATGATGCCAATGAATAAGTGAGGTGAGCTTCATCAATCGCAATTAGTCTAATCTTTTTTTGGGAACAAAGTGTTTTAAAAACTGGTCTTGGTTCAACAAGTTTGTCATAAAAACTTTCTGGAGTGCTAAGTACAATTTTGTAGTCAGATTGGGCAATTTTAGAGTGAACTGATGAGTCAGTCTGAAGAGAATTCCACATTCTTGTAAAGATTGATGTCGGTCAATGATTAAACTCACTGTAGGCATAATTACTATAGTCATCTTCTTTGTTGCAACACATGGAAACTGAAAACAAAAACTCCTTCTAACCCCAATGCTCTGAACAAATCTTTTCCTTCTAACAATGCTGATATGATTGTCTTTTGTTACGGTTTAAATTAAGATTTATCAAAATATTTAATAAGTGAGCCGAGTAAGTGATTATCCTTGTGATCTATATAAAATGTAATTGAAGTATTTGTAAAAATCATGTTCATACACCATCGATAGATGGTAAATTTCAAGGATCTAAAAATGTTATGTCATTCCTTGCCATCCAAGCAGTTAGGGAAAGTTAAATTAAAATTTGCTAATTTAGCACAATTACAATTATAAATTTTGCAATTTGGAACTGAAATTTACCACCTCATGCATACTAGCATTATAATGACATACTATTAGTAATGACACATTATGTGCCATTATAAGATTAACAACCAAAGTTATGAAGTCTAACATCAAAAGATTTGCGTTTCACCACGTTAAGATGGCTGAGTAGACTCTTCTTTCATTTCTAATGTAATGTGAGCTAGATCTTCCTTGGGTACTGTGGATAGTGTGATTAATTTATGTTCTCTCCTCTTGCCAATTCGATGCCTCAGAAGGCTGCACTTAGTGCAATTGCTGTTTTTAAAAGATTTACAAAGAATCAATGCCTCGTCCGGACATTGCTCATATACATCCTCTATGTACGTTTCTGATATTAGAGAAGCCATTGATCCGGGTTATGAGTGCTGAGAGCCACACAAAAACAATGACTACTGTACTGAGAAGCAAGTGATGAAAATGTGTCCATGTCCTCAGAGGAACTCTAATGATAAGAGCTGGTGCCACACAAACTAAAACACTAGCTACACTAGATTAATTACTATTAAGTTATCCACTCAGTACAGCCTTGACCTTTGCACTGACAAAAGAGCATCAAACTGGGTTTCAGCTCTCCCTTAACTTCTCTGGATTTCCACCTCCACAAGTCTATGCTTTTAGAGATGCTATTTGACCTTCACTATGGATGGAATATCTCTGACACTCCATATCATTGTACCTGTGGTCAATGTTTCTCCCTGGACCGTGACTTGTCATGCCCCGCCTGACGATTTCCATTTAATTGCCATAATGAGGCTTGTGACATCACTGCTACATTGCTATCTGAGGTTTGTTCTAATATTGAGGCAGAACCCTATCTGCAACAACTCACAGCTGATCGTTTCCTTTTTCGGACGGCTAATCATGTATATCAGAGGAGTTTATTTGTCTTAGCACAAAGTGATTCTCAATTCTCCCTTTGACCTCCAACTGGTGCGAGCCACCTCTTTTTTTGTTGACTATGATTATCATCACTAATTTCAATTATTTTACTAACAATTGTTTTTCCATCCCTAATTTTTATTGTCAATTCTTCTCTCTCTCTACTTGCCCTTTCTCTCTTTTTCTTTAGTTATTATAACTACTACTATCATTTTTATTGTCAACATTGTTGTTATTTGTTGTCGTTTTTAATTACTTTGTTATTGTTATTATTATTATTATTATTATTATTATTATTATTATATAAATTACAAATTTCCCTGGTAATGAGAGAAAGAGATAAAGTTGAAGCAAAATAAAAATAAAGTAATTGTGACCATCATTGACAAAAGATGCCTTATGGCGGATTATAACATTCAGGGGCCGATCTAGGGGTGGGCCAGGGTGGGCCAGGCCCACCGAAAAATTTTGTGCAGTAATTTCAATTAACTTTTTAATGTGGATGACTATGTAAACTGTGAAGCATGACTATGCACACAATTTGTAAACCACAAAGGAGCTCATTTTAACAGCTTTAATGTTTAAAATTTGGACTTTGAATGTAGGTCTTGTTGGCCACACCCACTAATTACTGCACCCAAATCATCAAGGCCCACCAAAGAATCGAATCCTGGATCCGCCCCTGGTCAAGAGGACAAAATGTCCTATCAACGAATGCAAGAATGTGAAGAAACAACACATATTTTGCCTTGTACATGCAAGAATTCTGAAAATAAGTGATTGAACAAAATGAAAACAACATAAAGAAAACACGTTCTATATACTATACTTTAAAAATATAAAATAATTTAAAACCATTTTATAGAAGTTGATAGTCTATATAAGAAATGTAAAGACAGTTGTTAACAAGTCATTAAGCAATAAACAATGTTTTTTGTTATTATAATTAATTAAATATTAATTGAAAATCACCATTTACCATAAACTGACTTAGTAGCTAAAATTCAAAACAAAATTAATTAGCATTATGAAATTTTATTGTAAATGACCATCCACTGATGTTAAGTCTTCTTCCTTCTCCTACAACATTAATTGTGTACCTTCTCCACGTGTAATGAAGAAGTCTTATCTTTTGTAGAAATGCTCCTGCGCTTGACTAATAATAATTATTGTTATTATTTATAAGAAATATAGCAGACCTTTAAACTTTTGATTTTTATGACAGACCCGAGTACGTGTTTTTAAAAATTGCTCCAATAATTCATTCTGCCCCTCTTATGTCACTGCTAATGGAGAGATAAGAAAGACATGATCACACCGACAAAATGATGGCGTTAGTCAATAATATTCTGTATTTAAAGATGTTGTCACATCTAACCAGTCAATATGGTGTTAACATTATTCTACTTGGACAATTATATCACTTGATTCAGTAACATGATTGTCAAGGAAACAGGTAACACATTGGAGTTTCAAGGGAAGTATTATGTAAAATAGTCTGATACTCACACATTTCCATTATCTGTACATTGCCTCAAATTAAGCCTTAGGATTAGATGTATGTCCTTTTTCAACTAGAAACTAATAAATACTACATAAGCCACTGAGAAGCTAGCTTTACATGTAGATCTATACCTAACTGAAACATTTATACCTTTTGTTTATACGTCCTTCAATTATTTTAATAGAGCCACAAAAGAAGAAGGGGGAGGAGCAAGGCAAAAGAATAGAGAAACAATATATCCAGCTGATTATCATCCTACTCCACCATCTTTTTTATTATTATTACTAGATCCACTCCCTTTCACAAAATTAAGGTATAGTAGGAGACTGGGCTAGAAAATGTGTGGAGTCTGAGCTAGGATGTGGAGCCTGCATCACAAATGCACAAGAACACCTCTGAAAACACAAATTCAACAATGACCAATAAGAAATGACAACTGAGATGTAACAGGTACATATTAAGTATGATTTATTATACATTGTTACATTCATTACCCGAGCCCACACGTAGGCGTGGAAGCGAGGGTAAAGCTGTCGTCCTGTCCGTGTGTGTTCGCTTGACCTCCACTTTTGAGCTGACACTGCTTTCTTGTCTAGTCCTCAAGAGTCTTATAATCAACACTGGCTCTGAAAAAGTTATTCTCTGTCTTGGGAATGCTATATTTTTCTTTTCCATGGATAAAGAAGCTGGCAAAGTCGCCAAAAGTAGGTCGGTTCCCCGACAACTCTTTCATAGTGTGAGCAAAAGAGCAACTGGGCAGATAAAACAATAAAGCAAAGCCTCCTCTTTCATTATTATGAGAGATTTTGCTCTAATCATCTTCGTTTTAAAGATATTGTAGCCCAAAAACTGATACTTTTGTGAGTTTAGACGAGGCTCTCTTCTCCCATAGTAGCGGCCAGAGTCTTTTAACATCAGAGACTCAATTGACGTTTGTATGCAACAAATGGAGTCTAACAAATGTGTGCTAAAATCTTTAAAAGTTGAGAAAAACAAAAGCTTTCTTCACCACTTAAGGCCACGTGCCACCATTACTGTGTGCAGGTGGAGCATGGCTTGATTGAGCCACACCTTCATTGCAGCCACACCTTTGCAGCAATGCAGCAAACATATTGAAACTTCTCTGTATAAAAAAGCAAACAATTCTCTGTCTCAAAGCATTCACTATGCCTTAATAAATTTAGTACAAATTAAAAGAAAATAATTAGTGAAAGTTTTGAGTTAGAGAAGAACCTGCAGCATGTACTTGATTTATTAAAACTTAGTGAATGTTTCGAGACAGTCAAACTGAGAATGTTTTTTTAGACAAAGAAGCTCCAGCATGTTTGCTGCACTGCAGCCACACTTTTACATTGCTGCAGCATGCAGCAGCAATGCAGATTACTGAGGTTCCTTTTCTATCTCAAAACTTTAACTAAAGGGCTGGCCAGCATAAAACATAGTCTTACAACACTGTTACAAAGATTGGGGAGATTGAAATCAAGTCTATCTCTAACACACTTATAATTATAATGCTAACACATACAACTTATAGTATGGAAACCAGGCTTAAGTTTCACTTTCACTTAATTCTATTAAAAACTGTAACTTATACAGATCTAATTGAGTCACACCACACACCTATGCCTTTACATTGCATTATTATGCCAAAGTTTCACTGCTTGCAATGTTTTGATAATAGATTAAGGACATCTTTATTATTTCTTCCATCTGTTGTCTCTATCTTTAGCTACATTTCCATGTTTTAATCATTCACTTAGCTATCTCTTTCTTTATCCTTATAGATACTTTCTAGTCTGTCCTCCCCTCTCTTCTGATAAATAGCAAGGCAGGTGGAGCTGCTGGGTGTCTTTTGCATTAAAGTCATTCCTTCAAAATTCTACTGCAACATTATTTTTAATAATAAATACTATTGATAATAATAATAA